AAAGAACACAAAAAAAGAACTATAAAAAAATGGTAAAAAGGGTAGCAAAATGAGTATAGAGAGAAAGTAAAAAACTGGGCGACAAACAAAGAAGCGACAAAAAGGGAGAGGAAAAAAGCCATTTAAAAAAAGTGACGAAAAAACATTTAAAAATGTTGATAAAAAAGGCGAGAAATATCCACTCAAAGTGAAAAAAATTAACAAAAAAAGACAACAAAAAAGAGGCGGGGAACAAAGAGGACAAAAACTATTAAAACAAGGCAGCAATAGAAAACTCAAAAAATAAAAAGGCGACAAAAAATCCAAAAATCGACCAAAAAAGTCAACAAAAAAAGGACTATTTAAAAAAATGGCAAAAAAGAAAGATGAAAAGGGTATAAAAAGGGCGAAAAACTAAACGCTAGAAAAGCATTTAAGAATAAGTGAATAAAAATGAGAAGACAATGGTTCAAAAAAAATTAGGACAGATGAAAAAGCGACAAAAAAGATAATAAAAGGAAGCGACAAACAAAAGTGGGATAAAAAGCGAAAAAAAAAGACGAAAAACCATAAAACAGACAAAATAAGAGGCGACAACAATCACGACAGAAAAAAAACGAAAAAAAATCCACAAAAGTTACAAAAAAGGAAACAAAAAGACGGCTACCAAAAAAGTGCTATAAAATTAGCAAAAAAAGACGATAGAAAAGAGGCAAAAATGCGCCCCAAAAAAAGTACCAAAAAAATAAAAAAAAAAGAACTATGACAAAAATAGTAAATATGAAGATAAAAATTGAAAAAAATTACCGAAGAAGCATTTAAAAAGGATGATAAAGAGAACAAAAAATGTGACAAGAAATTCTATAACAAAAACGATAGAAAATGCAATAAAAAAGAATATAAAAATGGCAGCAAAAAAACAGAGAAAAAAAGTAAGCAAAAATCAATAAAAAATGGCTACCAAAAAGAGGTAGCAAAGAAAGGGGATAAAAGTGGACCAAAAAAAGCGCTAAAAGAAATGCACAAAAAAACTGCAAGAAAAGGCGTTAAAAAGAACACAAATACTTAAAAAGAAAAACGAAAAAATGGCAGTAAAAATATGATAAAAAAGTGGGTAATAAACAAAGAAGGGAAAAAAAGAGAAGAGAACAAAAGCCAGTTGAAAAATAATTTAAATTGGAGACAAAAAAGACGATTAGAAAAAGGCAACAAAATCCACTAAAAGTGAAAAAAATTAACAAAAAAAGGACCATAAAAAAGGGGCAAAAAACGGGCGAGGAATACAGAAGACAAAAAAAGCTAAATAAAAAATTGATTAAAAAGCTATTAAAACAAAAGCAACAAAAAAAACAAAAAATCAGACAAAAAAGGCGCTAAAGGCCCAAAAAAGTCAACAAAAAAAGGACATGAAAAGGGTATAAAAAGGGCGAAAAAATAATCGTTATAAAAGCATTAAAAAAAAGTATTAAAAAAGAGGACGAGAAAATGGTCAAAAAAATCGACAACAAAAAAAAACAAAACAAGGTAAGGAAAAAGATCGACGAACAATAGGACGATAAAAAAGAAGAGTAAAAAAGATATTAAAAAAAAGGAGTGAAGAGGCCAAAAATGCGATAATAATTGCAACAAAAATGGAAAAAAGGCGATGAAAGTGGAGTCAAACAAAAAGCCATTAAAAAAGGGGGATGAAAGCGCATCATAAAAAAATAAGCCAAAGAAATGGACTACAATAAAAGCGCAGCAAAAAAAGGGACAAAAAAACTACAAGAAATTGCGATAAAAAAAGAACACAAAAAAAAGAACTAAAAAAAATGCTAAAAAGGGTAGCAAAATGAGTATAGAGAGAAAGTAAAAAACTGGGCGACAAACAAAGAAGCGACAAAAAGGGAGAGGAAAAAAGCCATTTAAAAAAGTGACGAAAAAACATTTAAAAATGTTGATAAAAAGGGCGAGAAATATCCACTCAAAGTGAAAAAAATCAACAAAAAAAAGGAGAACAAAAAAGGGGCGGGGAACAAAGAGGACAAAAGCTATTAAAACATGGCAGCAATAGAAAACTCAAAAAATAAAAAAAGCGACAAACAGTCCAAAAAATGACCAAAAAAGTCAACAAAAAGGGACTATTTAAAAAAAATGGCAAAAAAGAAAGATGAAAAGGGTATAAAAAGGGCGAAAAAAATAAACGTTTGAAAATCATTTAAAAATAAGTGAATAAAAATGAGAAGAAAATGGTTAAAAAAAAATAGACAACAGGAAAGATGAAAAAATCGGCAAAAAAGATAAAGAAAGAACAAACAAAGTGGGATAAAAAAGCGAAAAAACAGAAAAAAAGAGTCGAAAAACCATGGGACAAAAAAATGGAGTACAAAAAAAAAGGGTAGCAAATAAGGGAACAAAAAAGCGAAAAAACTGAAGAGGTGGAAAAAAAGGATAAGAAAGGGCGACAAAAAAATCGATAACAAAAACGAATAGAAAAAAAGGCAGCAAAAAAGATGAAAAAAATAACACAAAAAAAGTAAACAAAAAATCGATAAAAAATGGCTTGAAAGTGAAATAAAATAACAAAAAAAAGGGGCAAAAAATGGGCGAGGGTCAAAGAGGACAAGAAAAAGCTAGATAAAAAATTGATTATAACAAAAACTATTCAAACAAAGGCAGCAAAAGAAGACTCAAAAAATAAAAATGGCTACATAAGGTCCAAAAAATGGACTAATTAAAAAAACGGCAAAAAGGAAGATGAAAAAAGGGCTAAAAAATAAACGATAAAAAAGCATTTATGTATAAATGAATAAAAAAGAGGAGAAGAAAATGGTAAAAAAAAATCAATAACAAAAAAGATTTAGAAAGTTCTAAAAAAGGGGAAAAAAACGATCGTCAAACAAAAAGCGATAAAAAAAGAAGAGAAAAAGGCATTAAAAAAGACAGCAAAAAAGGACAAGAAAATGCGAAAAAAATCGATAACAAAAACAATTAAAAAACAGGTAGCAAAAAAAGTCAAGAAAAAAAAGGCTACCAAAAAAGTGGCAAAAGACGTAGCAAAGAAAGGGGAAAAAATGGACCAAAAAAAAGCGAAAAAAGAAATGCACAAAAAAACTACAAGAAAAAGGGTTAAAAAGAACACAAAAATTAAAAAAAAAAACGAAAAAAGTGGGTAATAAACAAAGAGAGATAAAAAAAGGCGATTAGAAACAAGCGACAAATATCCACTAAAAGTGAAAAAAATTAACAAAAAAAAAGATCATAAAAAAGGGGCAAAAAAGAGACGAGGAATATAGAAGACAAGATAAAGCTAAATAAAAAATTGATCCAAAAAACTATTAAAACAAAAGCAGCAAAAGAAGGCTCAAAAAATAAGACAAAAAAGTCAACAAAAAAAAAGACTATCAAAAAACGCCAAAAGCGACAAAAAAAGGAGTTAAGAGGGTAAAAATCCGATAAAGAAGGCGAAGAAAAAAGCATTTAAAAAAGGGGATAAAAAAGACGACAAAAAAATCGAGAACAGAATGGCGGCAAAACGGTAAGAAAATGGAACGAGAAACAAAAGGGCGATGAAAAGAAGAGAAAAAAGCGACAAAAAAGAGGTTAAAAAATCGATAACAAAATAATAAAAAAAGGCGAAAACAATAGGTGACAAAAAAGCGATGGAAAAAACAGCAAAAAAGGAGGACAAGAAAAGCCGATAAAAACGATAACAAAAACGTTAAAAAAATGCGAAAAAATACAAAAAAGGACTAAAAAAGCGGCAAGCTTGAATTTTCTATTTTTCTCCTTTAGAATTGTTTTCAATTTTTTGTTTCAACTATATGTATTTGATTTTTTTTCATTTGAATAGTTCAATTTTTCATATTCTTCTTGATTAATTAAAATCCAGAACCACGAAAAAGTCAAAAAGTCGAAAAATCCAGAAATCGTAGTCAAACAGTCGGAAAATAAAAAAATTGAGAAAACTGCCAAAAAGCAGCAGAAAAATGCGACAAAAAAATCGAGAACAAAGACGAATAAAAATATACATTACATCAGAAAAGGCAACAGAAAAAATTGACAAGAAAAAAAATACAAAAAAACCGCAAAAACGCCGATGAATACTGGATAAGCAAAAATCAAATAGGAGTAATCGATAAAAAAAGCCGTGACGAAAAAGCATTTAAAGTGACAAGTGACTAGAAAGTCAACAAAACAGAGTCACAAATTAACGTGGTGACATCTCAAAGACTTGAACAATTTGTATCTTAAAATATTTAGATCTCAGACTTCAGAGAAATATTTTTCGAAAGCTTTATTCATAATGCAATTTCGCTTTACTCGACTACGACGCACTTTCCGAGATGTAGTCCCTAGAAAAATAACATAAAACATTAGTACTAAACGAGATAAAAATAATCTTGGGGCAACACACGATTTAAAACCACAAAGAAACAAAAATAGCGACAAAATTAACACGTGAACTGACTAATCATGCCTTCGATTCTTGCAACTCACAACGAGGTCGATTATACAAACAAATCATCACTTCGGTTTAAAAACATCAACGGAGATTGAGACACATTTATGATATACATCGTTATCTTGTAAATCACAAACTTATCTCTATTTACACAAACACTCTACTTTTTAGTGTTCATTTACAATTGTAGAGAAAGTGCATATCCTAGCAGTCGAATCTCACAATTAAATAAAGTAAATGAATGAAACTAAAAAATTCATTAGAAATTCCGACTCAAGGTATCAATCTCCGATGCACCCGAACCATCCGCGTCCAAAATAGAACGCACTCAAACCACTCAATTTCCGCTCTTCCGGAAATACCCGAAAATTCGCACTTACCACTTACACAACAAAACGAAGACGATCTTCCTGAACCTCCCTTACGTAACCTAATCAGTGATACCATCAGGAAAAATCGGCAATTCCTCACTTGTATAATAAACATTACCACTGCGCACCCTCGCTCGCCGTTTGCGCAGCATCTGCTCAGTAGGGGTGGGGGGTAAACAAAGTCCGTATAAAACCACGCTGGCGCGCAAAATAACAAACATTTGACAGTCGCGCTCAGAAGTGATACCAAAGGTGCATCGATTTTTTTTTGTTCGTTGGATCAGTTTGAGTGCAATGCGTCCTCCGACTCAGTTTGGTGACAACATCGCCGCGGAGGCCGAGAACGAGCCCGACCCGAGGATGATGTCCATGATGATCTGCACGCGGCTGGCCGGAAGGGCCGTCATCAGGGTTGTGGGACGGTGCAACGAGGCCAAAGGAAACAATAATCTCGGTGAGCTTTGCCGCTAGAACTACCGGTCAGCCTTAGAGCGACTTAAAAGGACCGAAAAGGTCGATTTACGATTCAATACTATGTATGGCTTAGCCAGGAAAACGCGAGCGTTTACTCACCTTGAGCTGAGCATCTCGGAAAAAATGAAAGTGTATTTCGCGATATGAAAGTCGCAATTACTTTCGTCGAGGAAACGGCGATTTTTGATTTTCGGTGCGGAAGTAAAAGTTCATTGTTGCAGGTGAAGCGGGTTTTTGTTGTTGTTATCGGGCGATGAGTGGAGCGTTTAGATATAGGTTTTAATGCGCAAAATGTAAACAAAGAGAATTAAAGGTGGATTTGTTGTAAGCGAGCCAAACAATGTGGTTTAAACAACTGTCAGTGCTTCCGGAATTGGTTGAGGTGACCCGACGTTGGATTGCTTTCACGGAGAAATAAGAAATGAGTTAGTCATCGTTTTTCACGAGCTTGCACTTTGAAACCGAAATTTAAATGGCTTAGCTATAAAGATTAAGACGCCGTTAGGTTTTTATTTCGTTATTGTTGTCATTGTTATAGCACAAAGTGTTTATCTAATTATAACAATGACAAAAATAAAGCAGTGTGAAAATTTGCAAAATCCGTTTCACATTTCTGGATCATTATTGCATTTTCAGGAGTTCTGCAAGGGGCGCACCTTGTACCTATTTCTTTCTCTGTTTCTATGAATGATGTTACTTTATTTTTTTTTTAAATTCCTTTAAAAAAATCACACTTTTTATAAATCTATCCCTTTATGTAAATGGTATTATTTCCATTTTTGAATAACTAGTAACACTTTAAATATATTTCACAAATAAATGGAATAAATTTTATTTAACGCTACTTTCGAATCATACTGTTGTGGTTCTTTATTTCATCATTTCATTATATCACATTTCATTATGCACATATTTTAACAACATTTTAATTAGTCTGAAAAGTTCTACAAGGCTCTCACCTGGGACCTGTTCCTTTTTCGTTTTATGCGACTGATTGGGTTTTGAATTTTTGAAATTATAAACACTTAAAAAATAATTGATTAATGGATTAAAAATAATTAAATAAGTATCTTCGTGAAATTTTTGTCAACTCAAACTTGAAATTCATGATGATCTGATGAGACGAAAATTATATTAAAGACAATTTTAAAAAAATACATGGCTGTCTTTGATTGTATTTCTGCAATTATATTGTAAGCAATCCAGACTGAAATATAATTTAAAAAGTTCTGCAGGGACCTCACCTTGGACTCATTCCTTTTTCTCTTTACATGAATGATTTGGTTTCTGTTTTTGAAGGATTCATATTATTTACTGGAAACGATTTATTTCTTTTGTGACTCATAAGTTTTATTTTTGAAAAATTTCACGACTTCAGGAAATTGTATCCAAAAACAAAATCATATGTCAATTTTAAATCAAATTTGAATATTTTGAGATCAGTGAGACCTCACCGAAATTATAAAAATATTTTTTTTTTATAAGCAAGTGGCCTCAAAAAGTTATAAATCCAGACTTAAATGAACATAATTTAAAAAGTTTCGCAGGAACCGCATTTTGAACCATTCCTTTTTCTCTTTAAATGGGTAAAAAACAAATGTCTTTATAATTTTTTTCTTTTCTTTTTCTTTTTATGTGACTCTTAACTTTTTATTTTTGAACAATTACAAGCACATTAATAAATGAAGAAAAAGTAATTAAATAATTACGAAATTTTACCCAAAAATTTGAAAAAATATGTTTTTTTTTTAATAGGCAGTTGGCCTTAAAAAGTTACATTTTATTATAACAAGTTCAGACTGAAATATAATTTAAAAAGTTCCACAGGGACCTCACCTTGGACCCATTCCTTTTTCTCTTTACATGAATGATGTGGTTTCTATTTTTGAAGGATTAATAATATTTTAAACAAGTGAAAAATAAATGTCTTTGAAATTCTTTCCTTTCCTTTTTCTTTTCATGTGACTTATAAGTTTTTATTTTTGAAAAATTTCATGATAAATGAATAAAAAATAATTAAATAATTTTACGAAATTTTATTTGAAAACAAAATCATTTGTTAATTTTGAATCAAATTTGAATATTCCTATATCAGTGACAACTCACCGAATTTACAAAAAATAGTTTTTTTTTAATAAGCAATTGGCCTTAAAAAATTGCATTTTGTTATAACAAATTCACACTTAAATATAATTTAAAAAGTTCTACAGGGACCTCAACTTGGTCCCATTCCTTTTTCTCTTTACATGAGTGACATGGCTTCTACGTATTTTTGAAAGATTAATAATATTTTAAACAAGTGAAAAATAAATGTCTTTATGAAATTCTTTTCTTTCCATTTTCTTTTCATGTGACTTATAAGTTTTTATTTTTGAAAAATTTCATGATAAATGAATAAAAAATAATTAAATAATTTTACGAAATGTTATTTGAAAACAAAATCATATGTTAATTTTGAATCAAATTTGAATATTCCTATATCAGTGGCAACTCACCGAAATTAGAAAAAATATGTTTGAACAAATTCGGACTCAAATATAATTTAAAAAGTTCTACAGGGACCTCACCTTGGTCCCATTCCTTTTTCTCTTTACATGAATGATTTGGTTTCTACTTTTGAAGGATTAATATTTATTACTACAAACAACTAAAAAATTAATTTCTTTATAAAATTCGTTCCTTTATTTTTGTTGTTATGTAACTTATAAGTTTTTATTTTTGAAAAATTACAAGTACTTCAAGAACATTTCAGTTATAACGGAATAAAAAATAAGTAAATAACTTTACGGAATTTTATCAAAAAAAAAAAAAACAAAATCGTGATATTTTTATATCAGGATAGTTAAACATGTTTTCAGTTTCTTGTTGGGAAAAGAAGACTTCGAATATTAAGAAAAACTGGACAAAATATAAGCCCCGCCCACCCACCCCTTCTCAATTGTGACGAATGTTTTATTCATCGTGAGCCGAAGGGCGGAGCTTAGTTACAAAATCCTCATCTCTGTTCAAGAAATTACCATATGAAATTAATCACAAAAGTAGAAAAATTGCAAAATAGGAATATCGAAAAATCCAAAAATTGAAAAATCGAAAAGGCGAAGTCGAAAAATTTGAAAAATCGGAGAATAGAAAGAAAAATCGAGATTTTGAAAAATCGCAAAATCGAAAGATGTTAAAGATGAAAAAGTCGAAAACTCGAAAAATCGACCAATCGAAAAATTTAAAAATGGTGAAAGTCGAAAAAACAAATGAAAAATAGATAAATCAAAAAACTGATAAAATTGAGGTATTGGAAAGTCGAAAAATTGACTAATCGAAAAATGGAAAAATCGGGAAATCGAAACACTCAAGAAAGACGAAAAACAAATATTTCTAGAATAGAAAAATTGAAAAATTGCAAAACTAAAATACTGAGAATTCGAAATGTTAAAAAATGGAAAAGTCGAAAATCTGTGGATCGAAAAACCGACACAATGAAAAATCTGAAAGTCTCAAAAAAGAAAAATGATGGCGAAAAAGTGAAAAATCAAAAAGTCGAAGTCGAAAAATTTCAAAAATTGGAAAATCGAAAAGTAGAGATTTTGGAAAGTCCAGAAATCGAAAAATTGGAGAGAGAAAATTAAAAAGTGGAAAAATTGCAAAGTAGGAATATCGAAAAATCGCAAAATTGAAAAATTGAAAAAGCGAAGTCGAAAAATTTGAAAAATCGGAGAATAGAAAGAAAAAACGAGATTTTGAAAAATCGAAAAATCGAAAGATCGTAAAGATGAAAAAGTCGAAAACTCGAAAAATCGACTAATCAAAAAATTTAAAAATCGTGAAAGTCGAACAAAACAAATGAAAAATAGATAAATCAAAAAATTGATGAACAATTGAAATATGGAGAAATAAATCGGAAAGTAGAAAATTCAAAAATGTAAAAATTGAGATATTGAAAAGTCGAAAGATTGAGTAATGGAAAAATGGAAAAATCGGGAAATCGAAACACTCAAGAAAGACGAAAAAACAAATATTTCTAGAACAGAAAAATTGAAAAATTGCAAAACTGAAATACTGAGAATTCGAAATGTTAAAAAATGGAAAAGTCGAAAATCTGTGGATCGAAAAACCGACACATTGAAAAATCTGAAAGTCTCAAAAAAGAAAAATGATGGCGAAAAAGTGAAAAATCAAAAAGTCGAAGTCGAAAAATTTCAAAAATTGGAAAATCGAAAAGTAGAGATTTTGGAAAGTCCAGAAATCGAAAAATTGGAGAGAGAAAATTAAAAAGTGGACAAATTGCAAAATAGGAATATCGAAAAATCGCAAAATTGAAAAATCGAAAAAGCGAAGTCGAAAAATTTGAAAAATCGGAGAATAGAAAGAAAAAACGAGATTTTGAAAAATCGAAAAATCGAAAGATCGTAAAGATGAAAAAGTCGAAAACTCGAAAAATCGACTAATCAAAAAATTTAAAAATCGTGAAAGTCGAACAAAACAAATGAAAAATAGATAAATTAAAAAATTGATGAAAAATTGAAATATGGAGAAATAAATCGGAAAGTAGAAAATTCAAAAATGTAAAAATTGAGATATTGAAAAGTCGAAAAATTGAGTAATCGAAAAATGGAAAAATCGGGAAATCGAAACACTCAAGAAAGACGAAAAAACAAATATTTCTAGAATAGAAAAATTGAAAAATTGCAAAACTAAAATACTGAGAATTCGAAATGTTAAAAAATGGAAAAGTCGAAAATCTGTGGATCGAAAAACCGACACATCGAAAAATCTGAAAGTCTCAAAAAAGAAAAATGATGGCGAAAAAGTGAAAAATCAAAAAGTCGAAGTCGAAAATTTTCAAAACTTGGAAAATCGAAAAGTAGAGATTTTGGAAAGTCCAGAAATCGAAAAATTGGAGAGAGAAAATTAAAAAGTGGAAAAATTGCAAAATAGGAATATCGAAAAATCGCAAAATTGAAAAATTGAAAAAGCGAAGTCGAAAAATTTGAAAAATCGGAGAATAGAAAGAAAAAACGAGATTTTGAAAAATCGAAAAATCGAAAGATCGTAAAGATGAAAAAGTCGAAAACTCGAAAAATCGACTAATCAAAAAATTTAAAAATCGTGAAAGTCGAACAAAACAAATGAAAAATAGATAAATCAAAAAATTGATGAACAATTGAAATATGGAGAAATAAATCGGAAAGTAGAAAATTCAAAAATGTAAAAATTGAGATATTGAAAAGTCGAAAGATTGAGTAATGGAAAAATGGAAAAATCGGGAAATCGAAACACTCAAGAAAGACGAAAAAACAAATATTTCTAGAACAGAAAAATTGAAAAATTGCAAAACTGAAATACTGAGAATTCGAAATGTTAAAAAATGGAAAAGTCGAAAATCTGTGGATCGAAAAACCGACACATTGAAAAATCTGAAAGTCTCAAAAAAGAAAAATGATGGCGAAAAAGTGAAAAATCAAAAAGTCGAAGTCGAAAAATTTCAAAAATTGGAAAATCGAAAAGTAGAGATTTTGGAAAGTCCAGAAATCGAAAAATTGGAGAGAGAAAATTAAAAAGTGGAAAAATTGCAAAATAGGAATATCGAAAAATCGCAAAATTGAAAAATCGAAAAAGTGAAATCGAAAAATTTGAAAAATCGGAGAATAGAAAGAAAAATCGAGATTTTCAAAAATCGAATGATCGTAAAGATGAAAAAGTCGAAAACTCGAAAAATCGACTAATCAAAAAATTAAAAAATCGTGAAAGTCGAAAAAAACAAATGAAAAATAGATAAATAAAAAAATTGATGACAAATTGAAATATGGAGAAATAAATCGGAAAGTAGAAAATTTAAAAATGAAAAAATTGGGATATTGAAAAGTCGAAAAAACGAAAAATTGAGTAATCGGAAATGGAAAAATCGGGAAATCGAAAAACTGAAGAAAGACGAAAAAACAAATATTTCTAGACTGGAAAAATTGCAAAACTGAAATACTGAGAATTCTAAATGTTAAAAAATGGAAAAGTCGAAAAATCTGTGAATCAAAAAACCGACACATTGAAAAATCTGAAAGTCTCAAAAAATTAAATGATGGTCGAAAAAGTGAAAAATCAAAAAATCGATGTTGGAGTCGAAACATTTCAAAAATTGGAAAATCAAGAAATCGAAAAATTGGAGAGAGAAAATTAAAAAGTGGAAAAATTACAAAATAGGAATATCGAAAAATCGCAAAATTGAAAAATCGAAAAAGCGAAGTCGAAAAATCGGAGAATACAAAGAAAAAACGAGATTTTGAAAAATCGAAAAATCGAAACATCGTAAAGATGAAAAAGTCGAAAACTCGAAAAATCGACTAATCAAAAAATTTAAAAATCGTGAAAGTCGAACAAAACAAATGAAAAATAGATAAATCAAAAAATTGATGAACAATTGAAATATGGAGAAATAAATCGGAAAGTGGAAAATTCAAAAATGAAAAAATTGGGATATTGAAAAATCGAAAAATCGAAAAATTGAGTAATCGAAAAATGGAAAAATCGAGAAATCGAAACACTGAAGAAAGACGAAAAAACAAATATTTCTAGAACAGAAAAATTGAAAAATTGCAAAACTAAAATACTGAGAATTCGAATGTTAAAAAATGGAAAAGTCGAAAATCTGTGAATCAAAAAACCGCCACACTGAAAAATCTGAAAATCTCAAAAAAGAAAAATGATGGTCGGAAAAGTGAAAATTCAAAAAATCGAAAAGTCCAAAAATTTCATAAATTGGAAAATCGAAAAGTAGAGCTGTTGGAAAGTCAAGAAATCGAAAAATTGAAGAGGGAAAACTAAAAAGTGGAAAAATTGCAAAACTGAAAAATCCAACAATTGAAAAATTGAAAAAGCAAAGTCGAAAATTTTGAAAAATCGGAGAATAGAAAGAAAAATCGAATAATCGAAAAATGGAAAAAACGGGAAAATGAAAAATTGAAAAAAGACGAAAAAAACAAATATTGAGACTGGGGCGGGTGGGTGGGGCTTAATCTGCGTGTTTTCTTTTAATATATGGAATTTTCTTTCATCAACAGCAGAGTTAAACATGTTTTCAGTTTCTTGTTGGGAATGGAACACTTTGTACATTCAGAAAAAAATGGACAAAATATAAACCCCGCCCACCCACCTAAAGCTAAAGGGCGGAGTTTTTCTGCAAAATCCTCATTTCTCTACAAGAAATTATCATAGGAAATTCATCACAATTGAAATTGGGGCGGGTGGGTGGGGTTTATTTTTTTTTTTGTTCTTTATACACGTAAGTAGTTTTCTTTCAACAATTTTTTGGCGTGAAATTTCAAATCGAAAAACTGCAAAATCTAAAAATTTAAACGTCCAAACTTTGGAAAATCGAAAATTGGAAAGTTTAAAAATGCAAACTTTAAGAGGTATCGTAAAATTAAAGAAAAAGAACGAAAAATGAAAAAAACAAAAACTTGAAACGAAAAATTGCAAATGGAAAAATTAAAAATTAAAAACTCGAGAAACTCCAATCCAAAAATTTTTTAAACCAACTTTGGTTGTTATTTTTTACACAACAAACCAACACGTGTTTATCAATTTCTAGGTCGTTCTGCTGCAAACCTCAACTTTTCCCGAACCTTAATTATGGTCACACTCAAGTATCTTCAAACTAGCTCCCAAATAACCACGAATTTGTACGACTTTGCTCTAAATTTAACCCACGAGAAAGCAAAACTCCGTTAAAAATACACCAAATCTCCTCATTACATGTACGACTGCTGACATTATTTTCACTTCAACCAAAATAAATCATTAAAAACCTTGATCACTCACTCCTCGATAACAAACCCGCCCAATAAAAATAGATAAGCCAGCGTCTCGAGCGCAATCTTAGGAAATAGCACCGACCATGCGCTTTCAAAACTCGGTCATTCGTTCAGTTTGCTTTCCAAATGGCTTCGGCTGTAACCAGAGTCGTGCACAGGTGCGAAGATGCCCAAGAAACGCAAAATTTAGGTATAATTTCACCTAAAATCCCTCCGACTTCTATGTAAGCCCCCGCTTTCTAATCTAATTACACTAATAACGCGTTTAATCCCAATTAAAAATTGTGTTTATTTTTCGACCCGTGTTAGTTTTATTCAAGGATGTTTATAATTTTACATTAACGAACTACTAATGGCGATTTTATTTCAGCGTTGCGCAAGACGAAAGTTTTAATTTTATGGCAACAAAGTGTAGCGCAACAATGCACTGACGAGCAGATTTTATGTAACTCGCTCGGGTTGGGAAACGTCGTGCGAGCCTAATTTTAATTAGGAGTGAGAATTAACGCGCTCGAAAATGGTATGCTAATGCGTATGAGAACGCGCAACAATCTGTTTTTATTGTCACTTTTATTTACTACGAGATCGTTAATAAAGTTCGTGAATATTACGCACCGAATAGTACGCCCTGCGTCACACCACTTACGATTTTTTTGTTGCAGATCTCTCCAATTGCCAGCTTATGCAAGTACCAGACGCAGTGTACCACCTGATGAGGCACACTGAACTCAAAACCTGTGATCTAAGTGATAATGTGATTACGAAAATACCTCCGAAATTCGCTGTTAAATTCAGTTCGATAACGGACTTGAATCTATCACACAACCAGATGGCGAAACTTCCAGACGAAATCGCAGATCTGGGCTCCCTGGAAAGACTGGATATCTCCCACAACACCTTCATATCTCTGCCAAACTGTATATTTAAGATCTCCAAGCTGCAGCAGCTCAACGCCAACAACAACCACATAATCGGTATGCAAACAACAATATCATCTATGTTGTACTAAGGAAAAATTCTAGATGTGGACGTGGAATGTTTGGAGGAGGCGCCCTCGCTCGAATCCGTAGACCTAAGTAGCAACCCTTTGTCCCCCAGGTGTCACGACCGGCTGTCCGGGATCTCCAGGATCAGGATAACGCTGACGCCGAGAGAGAAAGAGGACTGGGAGGATCTCACCATCTAGTAGAAGATCTCAAAATCGCACTGCCATTTAGAAATAATCGAATGTGTTTTAATACGCAATCGGGTTGGGACGAATGTGCAATACGACTTTTAGTTTAGTTATTAGTTGTTTACGATTCGTCTGTTAAACGTGAAACATTTTTGATTATTTCGTCTCCTGGTAGCTCATCCCAAAGCAGGGTGCTAATCTAAGGCCTGTGCAGTTAGTCTAATTTGAACGTTAAAGTATTTGTATTTTTTATAATTGATATTGTAGTTGATACTTTTCAGAAAATACTAATGACGGGACTCGACGCACGACCTGACGTAGCTTTATTGTACTTTTTCTCAAGGTCTCCGTTGAGGTCTCGCTGAATGTGTGTATTATTTTGTACTGACACTGTGTTGTTTATATGATTGTATATTTATAGTGATGAAATTATATTTTGTACTTATTTGACATGATGTTGGCTTTTTCATCTAGTCATGTTGTGATCGGGATGCATAATGTCCTTTGTAGTGTCTAGATGTCTCCCAAATGAAAAAATGTCAAATAAAAATTCAAAGACTCGAAGCTCACTTATTCATCCTTTTCCATCAAAAATAACAGTCTGTGTGTAAATAATCAATGAGAGATCGCACGTGGCGATGTTTGCAATAACAAACCCAGATCAAAAATATCGAAAATGCGTTTACCGACACACAAAAATATTTAAATTTCATGATTCTATTTCCGACAGATGTGCAATTTACGCCGTGGGGAATAAATATACACGAATTTTTCATTTTTCGGTAGTAGTTTTAGTCTCCTCGTATAGGCAACCCATTCAACCCAAACCCGCAACTGTACGATCGAAAACTCATTGAAATACAGTAATCCACAACGCGTAATTGGCACTCCTGCTTTAACAATGTCATTTCGATAATGTCGTTTCAACAGATTTTGTCATTGAGGTGTCCCGATTCAAAAATTATTTAACACGTTTTTTTAATGTATAGAGTTTTCTCGTTATCAGTTTATTATTGGTAAAAGAAGATTTCGCATATTAAGAAAACCAGACAAAATATAAGCCCCGCCCACCCACCCGTTCTCAATTGTGATGAATACTGAAGAGCGGAGTTTAGTTGCACAATGCTCATTTAAAACGGTGGATCTATGTTGTGTTTCAAAATGGCGCAATTTGTTCGAAAATCAAGGGGGCGGCGAACTACAAAGGTGGAAAACTGCCACTGAAACAACAAGAAAATGGCTGAAACATGTCCACGATAATCAAAATACAAAATCGGTCGAAGGTTATTTCAACAGAACTTTCCTCGCCCCTGAATTATTAGACTTGAATTTTCTTTTCAATTTTTCTTTTTTTTTTTGTTCCTTCATTTCGAGTTTTCACGTTTAAATTTTTCAATTTGCAATTTTTTATTTTCTTTATTTTTACAATTTTTCAATGTTGCAAGTTTATAATTGTCTGTTTTTTCAATTTTTCGGTTTTTTTCTTAATTTTACGATAGCTCATAATGTTTTCATTTTTACATTTTCCAGTCTTCCGATTTTCCAACTTTTGGACGTTTACATTTTTAGATTTTGCAGTTCTTCGATTTGGAATTTCCCGAATTTTCAATTTTTACATTTTTCAGTTTTTCATTTCTTCATTTTTTCGAGAATTTGACTGACTTTGTGTTTTTTATTATATTTCTTGTTCTTTGCGCCAAAAAATTGTTGAAAGAAAACTACGTATATTAAGAAAAAAAAACAAACATTAAGTACCACCCACCCGCCCCAATCTCAATGGTGATGAATTTCGTATGATAATTTCTTGTAGAGAAATGAGGATTTGCAAGAAAACTCCGCCCTTCGGCTCACCAAGAATAAAACATTCATCACAATTGAGAAGGGGTGGGTGGGCGGGGCTAATATTTTGTCCATGTTTTCTTAATATAGGAAATCAATCTTCTTTCTCCAACAAAAAACTGAAAACATGTTTAGTTATCCTGTTCTTAAAAGAAAACTATATATTTAAAAACCATTAAAGATTAAGCCCCACCCACCCACCCATGTCTCAATTGTGATGAATTTCATATGACAATTTCTTGTAGAGGAATGAAGGTTTTCCAGCTAAATTCTATCCTTCAGCTCACGATGAATAAAACATTCATCACAATTGAGAAGGGGTGGGTGGGCGGGGCTTATATTTTGTTCATTTTTTCTTAATAGATGAAGTCTTTTGTTCCTAACAAGAAACTGAAACAAGTTTAACTATCCTGTTCTTAAAAGAAACCTATATATTAAAACAAACACTAAAAATTAAGTTCCACCCCCCCCCCCCCCTCCCATTGGCAATTGTGATTAATTTCTGGTAATTTCTTGTAGAGAAATGAACATTTTGCAACTAAACTCCGCCTTCCAGCTCACAATGAATAAAACATTCATCACAATGGAGAAGGGGTGGGTGGGCGGGGTTTATATTTTATCCATTTTTTCTTAATATTCGAAGTCTTCTTTTCTCAACAAGAAACTAAAAACATGTTTAACTATCCTGTTGTTGAAAGAAAACTCTATATTTTAAAAGAGAAACAAACAAAAATTAAGCCCCACCCACCCACCCCAGTTTCAATTGTGTAAAATTTCATATGGTAATTTCTTGTAGAGAAATGAGAACTTTGGAGCTAAACTTCGCCCTTTAGTTCCCCATGAATAAAAAATTCATCACAATCGAGAAGGGGTGGGTGGGCGGGGCTTATATTTTGTCCATTTTATCTTAATATATGAAGTCTTCTTTTCCCAACAAGAAACTGAAAACATGTTTAGCTATTCTGTTGCTGAAAGAAACCTCTATATATTAAAAAGAAACAAAGATTAAGCCCCGCCCACCCGCCCCAGTCTCAATTGTGATGAATTTCATATCGTAATTTCTCGTAGGAGAAATGAGGATTTTGCAACTAAACTCCGCCCTTCTGCTCACGATGAATAAAACATTCATCACAATCGAGAAGGGGTGGGTGGGCGGAGCTTATATTTTGTCCAGTTTTTCTAAATATTCGAAGTCTTCTTTTCCCAACAAGAAACTAAAAACATGTTTAGCTATCCTGTTGTTGAAAGAAAACTCTATATATTAAAAAAAAAACAAAGAAAAATTAAGAATCTAAAAGATCAGGAAGATCTAAAGGATCTAAAGGATCTAAAGGTATAAAATGTCCATAGGGATAGAAAGGATCTAAAGGTCTAAACGATCTAAAAAATCTAAAGGATGTAAAGGTTCAGGAGTAACTAAAGGATCTAAAGGTTCTAAGGTTGGAAAGGTTTTAGAAGTTTCAAAAGGAAACAAAGGGTCCACAGGATCAGAAAGATCTAACGGATCTAAAGGATGTAAAAGTTTAAAATGTTCAAAGGGATCTAAAGGATCTAAAGAATCTAAAGGAACTAAAGAATCTAAAGGAACTAAAGAATCTAAAGGATTTAAAAGATCTAAGAATCGAGAGGATCGAAAAGATCAAAAGGAACAAAAGAATCAAAAAGATCTAAAGGATCTAAAGAACCCAAAGATTCTAAAGAATCCAAAGAATTTAAAGAATCCAAAGAATTCAAAGAATCCAAAGAATCCAACGAATCCAAAGAATCCAAAGAATCCAAAGAATCCAAAGAATCCAAAGAATCCAAAGAATCCAAAGAATCCAAAGAATCCAAAGAATCCAAAGAATCCAAAGAATCCAAAGAATCCAAAGAATCCAAAGAATCTAAAGAATCTAAAGAATCTAAAGAATCTAAAGAATCTAAAGAATCTAAAGGAACTAAAGAATCTAAAGGATCTAAAGGATTTAAAAGATCTAAAAAATCGAAAGGATCGAAAAGATCAAAAGGAACAAAAGAATCAAAAAGATCTAAAGGATCTAAAGAACCTAAAGATTCTAAAGAATCCAAAGAATTTAAAGAATCCAAAGAATTTAAAGAATCCAAAGAATTCAAAGAATCCAAAGAATCCAAATAATCTAAAGAATCTAACAGTCTAAAGTGTTAAAATTCTCTAAGGACTTCAAATACGAAAGGATCGAAAGAAACTAAAATTTCAAAAGGATCCAAAGGATCGGGAGGATCTAAAGGATATAAAGGATTTAAAGGATCTGAAGGTTCAAAAGTTTCAAAAGGTTCAAAAGGAACCAAAGGATCCAAAGGAACAAAAGAGTCAAAATGATCAAAAGGATCAGAAGGATCTAAAAGTTTAAATGGTTCAAAAGGGTCAATAGGATTTAAATGATCAAAAGGATCAAAATGATCAAAAGGATCAAAAATGCCAAAAGAATCTGAATGATCGAAACGATCGAAAGGTCTAAAGAATCCGAAAGGATCTAAAGGTCTAAAGAATCTAAAAGATCTGAAGGATCTAAAAGATCAAAGGATCAAACGATCCAAGGGATTTAGAGAAACTAAAGGATCTATAGGATTTGATAGATCTAAAAATTCCAAAGGATCTAGAAGATTTAAAGGCTCTAAAGGATGTAAATTATCTAAAGTATGTAAAATATCTAAAAAATCTAAAGGATCTAAAGGATCTAAATGATCTAAAGGATCTAAAGAATCTAAAGGAACTAAAGAATCTAAAGGATCTAAAGGATCTAAAGAATCGAAAGGATCGAAAAGATCAAAAGGAACAAAAGAATCAAAAAGATCTAAAGGATCTAAAGAATCTAAAGATTCTAAAGAATACAAAGAATCCAAAGAATTTAAAGAATCCAAAGAATTTAAAGAATCCAAAGAATTCAAAGAATCCAAAGAATCCAACGAATCCAAAGAATCCAAAGAATCTAAAGAATCTTAACAGTCTAAAGTGTTAAAACTCTCTAAGGACTTCAACTACGAAAGGATCGAAAGAAACTAAAACTTCAAAAGGATCCAAAGGATCGGGAGGATCTAAAGGATATAAAGGATTTAAAGGATCTGAAGGTTAAAAAGTTTCAAAAGGTTCAAAAAGAACCAAAGGATCCAAAGGATCAAAAGAGTCAAAATGATCAAAAGGATCAGAAGGATCTAAAAGTTTAAATGGTTCAAAAGGATCAATAGGATTTAAATGATCAAAAGGATCAAAATGATCAAAAGGATCAAAAATGCCAAAAGAATCTGAATGATCGAAACGATCGAAAGGATCGAAAGGTCTAAAGAATCCGAAAGGATCTAAAGGTCTAAAGAATCTAAAAGATCTGAAGGATCTAAAAGATCAAAGGATCAAACGATCCAAGGGATTTAGAGAAACTAAAGGATCTATAGGATTTGATAGATCTAAAAATTCCAAAGGATCTAGAAGATTTAAAGGATCTAAAAGATATAAATTATCTAAAGTATGTAAAATATCTAAAAAATCTAAAGGATCTAAAGGATCTAAATGATCTAAAGGATCTAAAGAATCTAAAGGAACTAAAGAATCTAAAGGATCTAAAGAATCGAAAGGATCGAAAAGATCAAAAGGAACAAAAGAATCAAAAAGATCTAAAGGATCTAAAGAATCTAAAGATTCTAAAGAATACAAAGAATCCAAAGAATTTAAAGAATCCAAAGAATTTAAAGAATCCAAAGAATTCAAAGAATCCAAAGAATCCAAAGAATCCAACGAATCCAAAGAATCTAAAGAATCTAAAGAATCTAACAGTCTAAAGTGTTAAAACTCTCTAAGGACTTCAACTACGAAAGGATCGAAAGAAACTAAAACTTCAAAAGGATCCAAAGGATCGGGAGGATCTAAAGGATATAAAGGATTTAAAGGATCTGAAGGTTTAAAAGTTTCAAAAGGTTCAAAAGGAACCAAAGGATCAAAAGAGTCAAAATGATCAAAAGGATCAGAAGGATCTAAAAGTTTAAATGGTTCAAAAGGATCAATAGGATTTAAATGATCAAAAGGATCAAAATGATCAAAAGGATCAAAAATGCCAAAAGAATCTGAATGATCGAAACGATCGAAAGGATCTAAAGGCCTAAAGAATCTAAAAGATCTGAAGGATCTAAAAGATCAAAGGATCAAACGATCCAAGGGATTTAGAGAAACTAAAGGATCTAAATTATCGAAAGTATGTAAAATATCTAAAGAATCTAAAGGATTTAAAGGATCTAAAGTATCTAAAGGATTTAAAGAATCTGAAGGATCTGAAGGATCTGAAGGATCTTTAGGACATAAAGGATCAAAAACATCTAAAGGATCTATAGATCTAAAAGATCTAAAAAATCTAAGCGTCTAAAGAGTTTAAAGTGTTTGAAGTAAGATTTTTTTATATTTTGTCCAGTTTTTCTTAATATTCGAAGTCTTCTTTTCCCAACAAGAAACAAGAAACATGTTTAGCTATCCTGGTGTTGAAAGAAAACTCGATATGTTAAAAAAAATAAAATAAAAATAAGCCCCACCCACCCACCCCGATCTCAATTGTGATGAATTTCGTATGAAATTTCTTGTTGAGAAATGAGGATTTTGCCACTAAACTCCGTCCTTCAGCTCACGATAAATAAAACATTCATCACAATTGGGAAGGGGTGGGTGGGTGGGGCTTGTATTTCGTCCAATTTTTTGTTAATATAGGAAATCTTCTTTCTCCAACAAGAAACTGAAAACATATTTAACTATCCTGTTGTTGAAAGAAAACTCTATCTGTATATAAAAAAAAAAACAAACAAAAATTAAGCCCCACCCACCCGCCCTAGTTTCAATTGTGTAAAATTTCATATGGTAATTTCTTGTAGAGAAATGAGAACTTTGCAGCTAAACTCCGCCCTTTAGACGCCCCTTGAATAAAACATTCATCACAATCGAGAAGGGGTGGGTGGGCGGGGCTTATATTTTGTCCATTTTATCTTAATATATGAAATCTTCTTTCTTCAACAAGAAACTGAAAACATATTTAACTATCCTGTTGTTGAAAGAAAACTCTATATATTAAAAAAAAAACAAACAAAAATTAAGAATCTAAAAGATCAGGAAGATCCAAAGGATCTAAAGGTTTAAAATGTTCAAAGGGATCGAAAGAATCTAAAGGTCTAAACGATCTAAAAAATTTAAGGATGTAAAGGTTCAAAATGACCAAAAGGATCAAAAGGATCCAAAGGTTCAGGAGTAACTAAAGGATCTAAAGGTTCTAAGGTTGGAAAGGTTTAAAAGTTTCAAAAGGAACCAAAGGGTCCACAGGATCAGAAGGATCTAACGGATCTAAAGGATGTAAAGGTTTAAAATGTTCAAAGGGATCTAAAGGATCTAAAGGATCTAAAGAATCTAAAGGATCTAAAAGATCTAAAGAATCGAAAGGATCGAAAAGATCAAAAGGAACAAAAGAATCAAAAAGATCTAAAGGATCTAAAGAACCTAAAGATTCTAAAGAATCCAAAGAATTTAAAGAATCCAAAGAATTTAAAGAATCCAAAGAATTCAAAGAATCCAAAGAATCCAAAGAATCCAAAGAATCTAAAGAATCAAACAGTCTAAAGTGTTAAAACTCTCTAAGGACTTCAAGTACGAAAGGATCGAAAGAAACTAAAACTTCAAAAGGATCCAAAGGATCGGGAGGATCTAAAAGATATAAAGGATCTAAAGGATCTGAAAGTTCAAAAGTTTCAAAAGGTTCAAAAGGAACCAAAGGATCCAAAGGATCAAAAAAGTCAAAAGGATCAAAAGGATCAGAAGGATCTAAAGGATCTAAAAGTTTAAATGGTTCAAAAGGGTCAATAGGATTTAAATGATCAAAAGGCTCAAAATGATCAAAAGGATCAAAAATGCCAAAAGAATCTGAATGATCGCACCGATCGAAAGGATCTAAAGGTCTAAAGAATCTAAAAGATCTGAAGGATCTAATGGATCAAAGGATTAAACGATCCAAGGGATTTAGAGAATCTAAAGGATCTATAGGATTTGGAAGATCTAAAAATCCAAAGGATCTAGAAGATTTAAAGGATCTAAAGGATCTAAATATCTAAAGTATGTAAAATATCTAAAGAATCTAAAGGATCTAAAGGATCTAAAGGATCTAAAGAATCTAAAGGAACTAAAGAATCTAAATGATCTAAAGAATCGAAAGGATCGAAAAGATCAAAAGGAACAAAAGAATCAAAAAGATCTAAAGGATCTTAAGAATCTAAAGATTCTAAAGAATACAAAGAATTTAAAGAATCCAAAGAATTTAAAGGATCCAAAGAATCCAAAAAATCCAAAGAATCCAAAAAATCCAAAAAATCCAAAGAATCCAAAGAATCCAAAGAATCCAACAAATCCAAAGAATCCAAAGAATCCAAAGAATCCAAAGAATCTAAAGAATCTAACAGTCTAAAGTGTTAAAACTCTCTAAGGACTTCAAGTTCGAAAGGATCGAAAGAAACTAAAACTTCAAAAAGATCCAAAGGATCGGGAGGATCTAAAGGATATAAAGGATCTAAAGGATCTGAAGGTTCAAAAGTTTCAAAAGGTTCAAAAGGATCCAAAGGATCAAAAGAGTCAAATGGACCAAAATCAATAGGATTTAAATGATCAAAAGGATAAAAAATTCCAAAAGAATCTAAATGATCGAAACGATCGAAAAGATCTAAAGGTCTAAAGAATCTAAAAGATCTGAAGGATCTAATGGATCAAAGGATTAAATGATCGAAGGGATTTAGAGAATCTAAAGGATCTATAGGATTTGGAAGATCTAAAAATTCCAAAGGATCTAGAAGATTTAAAGGATCTAAAGGATCTAAATTATCTAAAGTATGTAAAATATCTAAAGAATCTAAAGGATCTAAAGTATCTAAAGGATCTAAAGGATCTAAATGATCTGAAGAATCTGAAGGATCTGAAAGATCTAAAGGATTTAAAGGATCTAAAGGATCTAAAGGATCTAAAAGATCCAAAGGATCTAGAGCATCTTTAGGACCTAAAGGATCAAAAACATCTAAAGGATCTATAGATCTAAAGTATCTAAAAAATCTAAGCGTCTAAAGAGTTGAAAGTGTTTGAAGTAAATTTTTTTTATATTTTGTCCAGTTTTTCTTAATATAGGAAATCTTCTTTCTCCAACAAGAAACTGAAAACATGTTTAGCTATCCTGTTGTTGAAAGAAAACTCTATATATAAAAAAAAAACAAAAATTAAGCCCCACCCACCCGCCCCAGTCTCAATTGTGATGAATTTCATATGTAATTTCTTGTAGAGAAACGAGGATTTTGCAACTAAAGTCCGCCCTTCAACTCACGATGAATAAAACATTAATCACAAGTGAGAAGGGGTGGGTGGGCGGGGCATATATTTTGTCCAGTTTTTCTTAATATACGAAGTCTTCTTTTCCCAACAAGAAACTGAAAACATGTTTAACTATCCTGTTGTTGAGAGAAAACTATACATTAAAAAAAAAACAAAGATTAAACCCCACCCACCCGCCCCAATCTCAATTGTGATGAATTTCATGTAGTAATTTCTTGCAGAGAAATGAAGATTTTGCAAACTAAACTTCGCGTTTAGCTCACGATGAATAAAATATTCATCACAATCGAGAAGGGGTGGGTGGGCGGGGCTTGTATTTCGTCGATTTTTTGTTAATATAGGAAATCTTCTTTCTCAGGGCGAGGAAAGTTCTGTTGAAATAACCTTCCACCAATTTTTTTTTATTTTAATTATCGTGGACACGACCACAGTTCATTAACAAATTTCGGGTAATTTTATTTGTTATTTTTGTTGGATGACTCAATTACAAATTATGTTGGTCGCCTGATATCAGTAAACGTTTTATTTTATCTCCCATGTCTCACCTGGAATTGCCATTTCACTAATGACTTGTTTACGTCGATATGTACATACGTTTGTGGAAAACTTGCAATTAAAGCGTAACGAGGAGTTAACAAACTTTTTGAAAACCGACGTTGATTAGAAGTTAAAACCTTTGTTTCTCTTTAGTTGTGCACACGTCGACAATGTGGAAACTACATTAATTAGCCCAACGAATAACGTTCCAGGAAAATAGGAATGTTGTTTAACTTTTAACTGTCTTATATTGTGGACAATACAGGAACGTGCGTAAGGTATAAAAAAATAAGACTAATTAAAAATTAATATATTTTGGTAATTTACAAAAATATCTTTCTAATCCACGATTAGTTACACACCCCCAGTGATGTCAACAGTAGCACCATGAACGTACGAGCTCTTATCAGACGCCAAAAAAGCGATAACTTCGCCCACTTCTATAATTATAAATTCGTATAAACACATAAATAGTGCAAAGTTGTAATTTAACCTTCAGGCTTGCCAAATCTTCCCAAAGGAATCATTTTCACAGCCTTCTCCCTAACTTTATCAGGCACGGCATCAGTCATTGGAGTTGCGATCATTCCCGGCAAAACACAGTTGACCCTAATCCCGAATTTCCCGAATTCCTTAGCCGCCGTTTTAGTCAGCCCTTCCACACCAGCCTTACTAGCACTATAATTCACCTGCCCTATGTTACCATACTTCCCTGAAGTACTAGCAATATTTATTATAGAACCTCCCTGTACACCATGCTCCACTATAGCATTGGAAAATAATTGGATCATCATGAAAGTACCCTTGAATTTTACAACATAAACTCGAATCATCGCACAACAAAACCAGTTACTTTCAAATTTATATTGATAACATCATCAAAGTCTGAGTGTTTTAGTTTCAACAAAAAGTTGTCTCTGGTAATACCAGCTGAATTGACTATGATTGACGGCGGTTTTTTATAGTGTTCGAGGGTCGATTTGAGCGCTGTGGTGATGCTCTTGTGGTCCCCTACATCTAGTTCTAGCGGAATGTGGGTTTGATCGGTACCATTGGGAACACTACTTACGGTATCTTGGGCGCCGGATATATTTTTGTCTGCAGCGATGACTGAAGCACCTTCTCGGGCCAGGATTCTACAAGTAGCACGACCGATTCCAGAGCCGGCACCTTAATAATTTTCCAAAAATTAATATTCGTTTGATTGGTTACCTACATACCTACCTGTTACGATGGCTAATTTTCCAGCCAAACTTCCAATAGCGGCCATTCTTGCAAATGAAGCTAGAACGTTGTTATCTTATCACTTAATTGTCATTAATTGTTAACTGAGTGGTTTATTTTTAAAGAAAAATTGTCGAATCATGACATTGGATATTAAGGTTATGTCACGTGGTGGCCATGTGCCACATATAAACAAGTTTCTAGATCCTAGGCGTAGTTTTAAAATTTCGATCGGGGGCTTGACGAAATTAAAAAAAAAAACAAACTTGGAAATTTAATTTAATCCATTATTTTAGCAGATCCATATGCAATTTATATAACAAACAAGTGTCTCAAATCTAATTTAATTTGATTCGACTTAATTAACTTTGTTGAAATCTTGCTGCAGCCACGTAATCGACGTCTATGGTTATGTCAACCTCCTGTCGTATCGGTTGTCATCTGTCAAATCCACTTATGTCAAACCTTCTTTAAACTACTAAAAACCACACGAAAACACAATGGCAACACAAAAACTGAAAAGCCTCGCCTATATTGGCACCTTTGGTATCAGCGCCTTCATCACAGGGACCTATTTCGAGCGAAAATTCTCCCCCCAACATAACCTCAAAAACCCCCAAGACTCTCCCATTTTCAGCACCGTCTTCGCAGCAACCGCTGTTTCGCCCGTGCCTTCAGAAACCAACGTCGGTAGGATCTCACAAATCATGAAATACGGTTTCCCAGGCCTTGACAATGTCCGGTCATTTGATAATTTTGTTTTAAGTTATGATAAGAGAAACCGGGTGGCCCACTGGGTTTTTGAACATATTACACCCGAGTGCTGCAAACCCAACGATCAAGTGGATCGAGCGTTATCAGAATTTACACCTGACGAAAGTATTCACCCGTTTTTCAGGTTGAGTTTTGTTTTGGTTTTGAAAGGGTTTAAAGGGGTGTTTCAGGTCTTTGAATAGTGATTATTATAAGTCTGGGTACGACAGGGGGCACTTGGCGGCCGCTGGAAACCACAGGGTGACTCAGAAAATGGTCAACCAGACTTTTCTCTTGTCAAATATGGCGCCGCAGGTTGGAGTTGGATTTAACAGGGATTCCTGGAATAGACTGGAGAGGTACGTGAGGAGGTTGACCAGGACGTTCAAAAATGTGTATTGTTGCACAGGACCGTTGTACCTACCCAGGTATTTTAAAATAGAATTTTGCGTTAGTCTTGTTATTACATTTTGTTGTAGGAAAGAAGCAAATGGTAAAAATTATGTAAAGTATGAAGTCATTGGGGCCAACCATGTGGCGGTTCCCACACATTTTTTTAAAGTAGTGGTATGTGAAACCAAAGATGGTCAGTTTGAGATGGAATCCTATGTGATGCCTAATCAAGTGATCAGTGATGATACACCCTTGACTAGTTTTATGGTTTGTTGGTAAATTTTTCTGGCCACAATTTTAGAGTGAGTTTTAGGTACCACCCGAAACTATCGAGAGGGCCGCCGGACTTCTATTTTTTGATAATATAGCCAGAAGCAAATTTAGTAAAATCAACCATAAGAAAAATTAAGTTTTATTTATTTGTGACCGAATTTTAATTTGTTTGTATTTATACAATTAAAAATGTGATGTTCTAGTTTTATGCAATTATTTAAATAAAAGTTATAGTAAGTATTTGTTGTTTAATTGCAGATAAACATTCACATGAACAAATAAGGTCACGAAGAAACACTTACAAGGAAGAATTTGCATCAAGTTAAATGATGCATTAATTCAAGAATTCGAGAATAAATGTTCAAGTTCAGGTTGTAAAAAAATACATTAAACCTGTAGATAACATTCAAGGTTATTCTCTTATGGATCTTGGACGTCAATGTCATTCCACTGTCACAAAGTGTGAAACACCTGTAACTATTATAACTTGTTTATACCGGGTGTCTGGAAAATGGCGGATTAACTCTTGAATACGTTATGTAGGGGGGTTTCGGGAGTCCCAAAAAATATTAAAAAAATTCTTTATGATCTAGATTACGAAAAAAACGTCATTTTATAGAGGAAAATTGACAACACTGCACCCACCTAATGCGTAAATACCACCTAGTCATTAATCGTTGTGCATTATTATTAATAACTGCCAAAATCAATCTTATCTGAACAGGTGGTAGCCCCGCCCACCCACCCTCCCTTTTTTTAGAAGGTATGTCATCTGCCAATATCAGTCTTATCTTAACAGGTACTAGCCCCGCCCACCCACCCTCTCCTTTGTTAAAGGAAATGTCATCTGCCAAAATCAGATTATTGTAATTTTTCCTTATTATTATTATTAAGCTCCAAAAATAGCAGGTGTCAGCCCCGCCCACCCACCCTCTCCTTTCTTAAAGGACATGTTATTTGCCAAAATCAGTTTATTGTTATTTTTCATCAATAAACATACCAAAAAAGCATTTAATAAGACAGTGAATTTGGCAAATGATATACCCTTTAAGAAAGGAGAGGGTGAGTGGGCGGGGCTAGTGCCTGCTAAGATAAAACTGATTTTGGCAAATGAAATACAGTTTAGGAAAAGAGAGGGTGGGTGGGCGGGGCTAGTGTCTGCTAAGATAACACTGATATTGGCAGATGACATACACTCTAAAAAACGAGAGGGAGGGTGGGTGGGGCTAGTACCTGCTAAGATAAGACTGATATTGGCAGATGGCATACCTTCCAAAAAAAGAGAGGGTGGGCGGGCGGGGCTAGTACCTGCTAAGTTAAGATTGATTTTAGCAAATGAGATACTCTCTAAGAAAAGAGAAGGTGAGTGGGCGGGGCTAGTATCTGCTAAGATAAGACTGATTTTCGTAAACGATATCTTTTAAGAAATTTAATTGCATTATTATGACAAAATACACTAGAGGCTCCAAAGCATTTTCAAATTCTGTCCAAACAGGAATAATAATAGAACTTCAAGATTCTCTTAAATTTGTCAAAAAAGGTGTCCCAAAATTAACTCAAAAACAGGTCAGGTCAGAATTTTCCAGAAATAGCAGGTGTCAGCCCCGCCCACTCACCCTCTCTTTTTTTAAAGCATTATGTCATTTGCCAAAATCGGTTTATTGTTATTTTTCATTAATAAATAAACCAAAAAAGTATTTAATAAGACACTTATAAATTATAAACAAAAACACTAATACTTGTTAAGATAAAACTGATTTTGGTAAATGACATACCCTTTACGAAAGGAAAGGGTGGGTGGGCGGGGCTGCCACCTGCTAAGATAAGACTGATTTTCGCAAATGATATCCTTTAAAAAAATTGCATTATTATACGAAAATATATTAAAGACCCCAAAGCATTTTCAAATTCTGTCGAAACAGGAATACCTAGAATCTCAAGATTGTTTTAAATTTTTCAAAAAAAGGGGGGGTCCCAAAATTAACTCAAAAGCAGCAGATTCCTTTAAATTTATTCGAACGTAAAATACCAAAAAAAAAAAAATTGAAAAAAATAATTATTTATGTAAGAGATAACCTACCTATTATTATTGACATTGAATAACATGCAAAACATATTTTTTTATGTGGTTCTCTTAGACTTTCGTCTACGGACTGAAAATATGTTTTTTTACATCTTTTCCAACCGCTCGTTAATTTCGTTTCTTCAATTTTTCAAATTTTTGATATTGTTTTCTCGGTTTTTCGATATTTTAATTTTTCACTTTTTAAAGTTTTAGGTTTTTAGATTTCTCACTATCTCGACTTTTCGGTTTTTCAGTTCCATGATTTTTCAATTTGTCGAATTTTTAAATTTTAGATTTTTTGTCTTCTTTGATGTTTTGAGTTCTCGATCATTCGATTTTCTGAGTTTTCAGGCTTGGATTTTTTTGTTGTTCAATTCTTGGATTTTGAAAATTTTTGTTTTTTAAATTTTCCTATTTATCGACTTACTGGGATTTCAATGTTTTGATTTTTTTATTGTTCAATTTCTCGATTTTTTGAATTTTCAGCTTTGGAATTTTGCAATATTTGGTTTCTTCAATTTTTTAAATTTTTGATATTGTGTTTTCTCGGTTTTTAAATTTTTCGATATTTTAATTTTTCACTTTTTAAAGTTTTAGGTTTTTAGATTTCTCACTATCTCGACTTTTCGATTTTTCAGTTCCATGATTTTTCAATTTGTCGAATTTTTAAATTTTAGATTTTTTGTTTTCTTTGATGTTTTGAGTTCTCGATCATTCGATTTTCTGAGTTTTCAGGCTTGGATTTTTTTGTTGTTCAATTCTTGGATTTTTAAAATTTTTGTTTTTTAAATTTTCCTATTTATCAACTTACTGGGATTTCAATGTTTTGATTTTTTTATTGTTCAATTTCTCGATTTTTTGAATTTTCAGTTTGTGATACGATTTTTTTTTTCAAAAATGTTCAGTTTTTCAATTTATTAACTTTACGATACTTCAGCTTTGCTCGATTTCGATTTCTCAATTTTTCGATATATTACTGTTGGGATTTTTCAATTTATCGATTCTTCGATTTCTCGATTCTTCATATTTTCGGTTTTTCGAATTTCTTCATTTTTCGATTTCTCAATTTTCCGATGTTTCAGTTTTACGATTTTTAATTTTTTTTATTTTTCAGTTTTCAATTTTTGACGTTTCTAAATTTTTCGATTTCTCAATTTTTCGATTAACTGAATTTTTTATTTTCCCATTTCTCTATTTCTCAATTTTTCAATTCTTTCTTCAATTGTGATTTTTCAATTTTTCGATTTCTGAATTTTTCAATGTTTCAGTTTTGGATTTTTTCACTTTTCCGATTCTTCAATTTTCTTTCCATTTTTCAGTTCTTCAGTATTTCAGTTCTGGAATTTTGCAATGTTTCGGTTCTTCAATTTTTCCATTTTTTGATGTTTCGATTTCTCGGTTTTTCAATTTTTGGATAGGTATTTTAATTTTTCAATTTTTAAGTTCTAGATTTTCCGTTAATTTTGTTGTTTTCCTTGATGTTTTGTTTTCTCGATTATTCGATTTTTCAAGTTCTCGGTTTAGATTTTTTGGTTTTCCAATTCTTCGATTTTTAAATTGTTTAATTTTTAGATTGTTCAAGTTCTCGATTTTTAGATTTTTCAATTTTTCGGTTTACCGTTTTTTTTTTTCATTTAAAATGTTTCAATTTTGCAATTATTAACTTTTCGTTTTTCCAATTTTGATCTAATCTGATTTCTTAATTTTTTGATTTTTTGACTCCTCTACTGTTGATGTTTCGATTTCTCGATGTTTCAGTTTTTGAACATTCCGATGTTTCGATTTTTCGACTTTTTGGCTTTTCGAGTGTTCAATTTTTTGATTTTTGATTTTTAGATTTTTGCTTTTTTGGTGTTTCGATTTTCCAATTCTTCAATTTTTCGAATTTTTAAATTTTTGATTTTTCTTTTCTTTTATTTCTCAATTTTTGGATTTTTTAAATTTTACATTTTTCGATTTTACTATTTTTTGATGCTTGGATTTCTCAATTTTTCAATACTCAATTTTTCAGGATTTGAATATTGAGAACTTTTCAATTTCTGGATTTTATTATTATAATTTATTTAACTGAACAGTTATTAATTTAACTAAGCAGCTATTATTTCACCAAGCATATATTATTTTTACTGACAATTTATTTTTTAACTGAGCATTTATTATATAACTTAGCATTTATCATTTTTACCGAGCAAAAATACAGAGCGTTTAAAAATAGAACTGTGCATTTAATTTGTTCCCTTATCTAAATCCAAGATTATTTATTATCATATTTTTGTATTTACTTTTCTCCTGAATATCTCACGTGTTTTAGATTAAAATTTACATTACCGATGTTAAAAATTGTATTAGAACCATGAACTCAACATGAACTGTGAATTTACAAACAATAAAAGAAAAATAACACGTGTTGATGACATTGTAAATTAGAAAATCGCTAATAAACTGATTCCGCACTAATTATACTCGTTTGCCCACGTTATTGAAGTAGTTCTTTATTTTTTAAGTTTAATCACCATCACGTACAATCGCACGCAAATGTTCTGAGCCTATGGGCGGATCATTTTTGCCGGTCGTCACCGAAGGAGGCGGTCCAAATCGTCCAAGGGCAGGATTTGTAGGTAGGCTCAAACTACAACGAAATTTACGTGTTGACCAAATTCTTACCCTGAATTAGTTTTAATTTTATAAATACTTACTCTGAATTAGTTTTAATTTTATAAATACCGTATCTAAAATGTTCAGAATATGATGAGTCTGTACTTGTGATTTACCATTCCATTAATATTTTTTGGATTTGTTTATACATACAGAGTGACTCAAAAAAAATAATGACTGAGTCAATTTATTTTATTGAAGAAATCAAGAATTGCAAAACTGAATACTTTGAAATCTTGTCAATTAGTTAGAAAAAAAAACCTGTCCTGCTCTAATAACATCGAGAATATGCTCAAAATCACACTAATATTAGGTCTAATTGTGCCGACCATAGTTATAAAATTCACATTAAAATAAGTCACGGACATTTTTTGAAGTGTACTACATTTCAAAAAGCAAAAAAAAATGTTCAGTTTATAAACTTCTTAATTTTGGTTTAAAGTTTATCAATCATATTTGACGCTTTATTTTATCCGTTCCATTTGTTATCCTTTACTGCGGTCTCTCTTGGGTCGAGGTGTAACACCGGACCGAACGTTCTTCGACCGATAGGATAATTTATTACTTCCGACATCTTTTCGGTGACAAATTTAATCTTTGCATACTTCAGCGTAGTTAGTGAACTCGTTGTGACCACTGAAATATACAAAGAGTAAATTTTGAAATGGAACGAAAGTCGAAGAATACTTTCAAAGCCAGGATCAAAATGTATTTGCTTATCTTCGGCAAGAAATGCATGACGTCATCGTAAAATTTGATATGATGAGTCTATACCTGTGATTTATTATTGCAGTAATATTTTTTAGATTTACTTATACAGCCTGTCTCAAAAAAAGGTCACTTCGTTTTTCGATTTTTCGTTTTTTCGATCAACAGTTTCATCGAATTAGATTTTTCAGTTTCCATTTTTCTATCAACTTTTCGATTTTATTACTTTCTAATTTTCTGATTTTTCAAATTTGCGGTATTTTGATTTTTCGAGTTTTCAGTTTTTTCGTTTCTCGATTTTTTAATTTGCCATTCTTACAATCGTCGATTTTTCGTCTTTCCATTTTTAGATTTTTTGATTTTTCTGTTCGTTAGTTTTTAGACTTTGCAATTTTTTCGATTATATTTTACTTTCCGATTTTTTTGATTTTTGAATTCTTGATTTTACGTTTTTAATTCTTCGATTTCCGATTTTTCAATTTTCCGGTTTTTTAATTATTCTATTCTCGATTTTTCGATTTTCCATTAATCATAAAATTTTTCGATTTTTCGGTTGTTTTACTTTTCGACCTTCGATTTTTCAACTTTCGATTATTCGATTTTCCAATTTCTGATTTTACGATTTTTCGATTTGCGATTTTTCGATTTTCGTTTTTCCGCTTTTGTGGTTTTTCGATTTTTCTGTTTGTTTCAGTTTTTATGGTTCTGCAATTTGCAGCTTTTAGATTTCAATTTTGTTACTTTCCGATTTTCCACTTTTCGATTTTTTTATTTTTTTTTCGATCGTCGTTTTTTCGATTTTCATTTTTTCGATTTTTTGATTTTTCAATTTTTAGGCCTAATTTTTTACTTTTCGCTTTTTCGAGTATTTGTTTCATCGAATTTTCGAGTTTTCGATTTTTCGGTTTTTCCATTTTTCGATTTTCCATGTTTAGATATTTTTCGATTTTTTTTTATTTTTCGATTGTTCTGTTCGTCAGTTTTGAGACTTTGCAATTTTTACTTTTCCACTTTTTTATTATTTTAGTTTCGGATTATTCGATTTTTCGTTTTTTTAAGTTGTCGATTCTCGATCTTCCGATTTTCGATTTTCCAATCTTCGATTTTTCAATTTCCAGTTTTCGATTTTCCACTTTTTGATTTTACGATTTTTCGATTTTTCTGTTCGTCAGTTTTTAGGCTTTGCAATTTGTTTACTTTTCGCGATTTTTCGATTATTTTTTTCCAGTTTTTTGATTTTTGAATTGTCGACTTTTAGAGTTTTCAATATTATGAATTTTCGAATTTTCGGTTTTCCTATTTTTCGATTTTTGATTTTTCCATTTTTCGGTTTTTTGATTTTTCAATTCTCGGTTTTTCAATCTTGCAAATTTTCGATTTTTCAGATTTGTGAATTTCCAGTTTTTCGATCGACCTACGTATTAGATTCATTGAATTTTCGATTTTTCCATTTTTAGATTTTTGATTTTCCAGTTTTGTATTTTCAGATTTTGTTTTTCGCATATCTGATTTATCAAATTTTCGATGTTTCGGCTTTTCGAGTTTTCGATATTTGATTTTCGAATTTTCGATTGTTCAGTTTTCCATTTTTCAGCTTTTAGACTTAAATTTTTTTACTTTTCGATTTTCCAAATTTTCGAGTTTCAATTTTCAGATTTTTGATTTTTCGATTTTCTTTTTAAATCTTTGAATTTTTCGGTTTTGATTTTTCGAATTTTTGATTTTTAATTTTTCCATTCTTCGGTTTTTAGACTTGAATTTTCTTTCTTTTAAATTTTTCGATATTCTATTTTCCGCTTTTCAGAATTTTCGATTTTCAGTTTTCAGACTTTCGATGATTAGAATTTTGGATTTTTCAGTTTTGTGATTTTTCGATTTTTAGAAAATTTGAGTAGTCGAATTTTCGATTTTTCAATTCATCGATTTTTCTATGTTCAATTTTTCAATTTAAATTTTGCGATTTTCAATTTGTCCATTGTCGATTTTTAGAATTTTCGGTTTTTCAATTTTTCCATTCTCAACTGTTAGACTAGATTTTGTTTCTTTCCGATTTTTCGATTTTCCATGTTTAGATATTTTTCGATTTTTTTTTATTTTTCGATTGTTCTGTACATCAGTTTTGAGACTTTGCAATTTTTACTTTTCCACTTTTCTATTATTTTAGTTTCGGATTATTCGATTTTTGAATTTTCGTTTTTTTTTTCATTTTTCGATTTTTTGATTTTTCAATTTTTAGGCCTTGCAATTTTTTTACTTTTCGCTTTTTCGGTTTTTCCATTTTCCGATTTTCCATGTTTTGATATTTTTCGATTTTTTTTTATTTTTCGATTGTTCTGTTCGTCAGTTTTGAGACTTTGCAATTTTTACTTTTCCACTTTTCTATTATTTTAGTTTCGGATTATTCAATTTTTGAATTTTCGTTTTTTTTTTCATTTTTCGATTTCCGATTTTTTAATTTTTCGATTTTTCGGTTGTTTAATTTGTCGATTATCGATATTCCGATTTTCGATTTTTCGATTTTCCAATCTTCGATTTTTATCAATTTCCAGTTTTCGATTTTCCACTTTTTGATTTTACGATTTTTCGATTTTTCTGTTCGTCAGTTTTTAGGCTTTGCAATTTGTTTACTTTTCGATTTTTCGATTATTTTACTTTCCAGTTTTTTGATTTTTGAATTGTCGACTTTTAGAGTTTTCAATGTTATGAATTTTCGAATTTTCGATTTTCCTATTTTTCGATTTTTGATTTTTCCATTTTTCGGTTTTTTGATTTTTCAATTCTCGGTTTTTCAATCTTGCAAATTTTCGATTTTTCAGATTTGTGAATTTCCAGTTTTTCGATCGACCTACGTATTAGATTCATTGAATTTTCGATTTTCGGTTTTTCCATTTTTAGATTTTTGATTTTCCAGCTTTGTATTTTCAGATTTTCTGTTTTTCGCATATCTGATTTATCAAATTTTCGATTTTTCGGCTTTTCGAGTTTTCGATATTTGATTTTCGAATTTTCGATTGTTCAGTTCTCCACTTTTCAGCTTTTAGACTTCAATTTTTTTACTTTTCGATTTTCCAAATTTTCGAGTTTCAATTTTCAGATTTTTGATTTTTCGATTTTCTTTTTAAATCTTTGAATTTTTCGGATTTGATTTTTCGAATTTTTGATTTTTAATTTTTTCATTCTTCGGTTTTTAGACTTCAATTTTCTTTCTTTTAAATTTTTCGATATTCTATTTTCCGCTTTTCAGAATTTTCGATTTTCAGTTTTCAGACTTTCGATGATTAGAATTTTGGATTTTTCAGTTTTATGATTTTTCGATTTTTAGAAAATTTGAGTAGTCGAATTTTCGATTTTTCAATTCATCGATTTTTCTATGTTCAGTTTTTCAATTTAAATTTTGCGATTTTCAATTTGTCCATTGTCGATTTTTAGAATTTTCGGTTTTTCAATTTTTCCATTCTCAACTGTTAGACTTCAATTTTGTTACTTTCCGATTTTTTGGTTTTCGTTTTTCCAATTTTCAGAATTTCCAAGTTTCTTTATTCAGATTTTTAATTTTCCACTTTTTCGATTTTTCTGTTCGTTTCAGTTTTTAGGCTTTGCAATTTTTTTTACTTTATATATTTTGATTATTTTAATTTCCGATTTTTTTAATTTTTGTTTTTGATTTTTTTAATTTTCAATATCACAAATTTTTGACTTTTCGGTTTTTTGGTTTTCCCGTTTTTCAATTCTCGATTTTTCGATTTTTGAGGTTTGTGAATTTCCACTTTTCGATCGACCTAGGTATTTGATTTCATTGAATTTTCGATTTTTTGATTAGCCATTTTTAGATTTTCGATTTTTACGATTTGTATTTTTCGATTTTCTGTTTTTTGCATTAGTGAATTTCAGTCTTTCCGACTTTTGATTTTGCGCATATTTGATTAATCAAATATTGTTGCTTACAAAAACTTCAAAACAACTACAATATTTCAAAGTATTCAGTTTTGCTATTCTTGATTTCTTCAATAAAATAAATTGAATCAGTCATTAACTTTTTTGAGACAGCCTGTATAACCAAATCTAAAAAATAATAATTCAGTGATAAATCACAAGTATTAAACTCATCATATTTTATACATTTAAGATAGGATTTATTCTGCAAAATTTTGAGGTGACGTCATACATTTTTTAGAGGGGATAAGCAAATATATTTTAATTAAAAATGTATCATGTTTATCATGATTTTAAAACATCTGCAAGATTTCAAAGTATTCGATTTTGCAAATTCAAAATTAAATTGCAAAATATTTTATAATTTTGATTTTTTTTCCAAAAATCTGGACGTTTCGGATAAAAACTCAACACGGAGTCATAAACTACATGTGTAGGACTATGTTACTGTATACAATTTAAAACCCATTTACTATGCATAAATTTGAAGTGACGTCATCACATTATTGGTGGGGATGATTAGACAAATTTAATAATTTTGCGACATTTATGAAAAAAATTTCAGGGTTAAGGTATAAATAAAGAAACCCAGACGACGATACAATATATTTACGACCCATGCATCGTCACAATAATAAAAGATGTTATTGTAGAACTAACACATAAGATCAGTAGAAACATTTTAAAGACTTTCTTTAATACGAAAACAACATCTGCATAGTTTAAATACTTGCAATAACTTAAAACATCTGAAGAATTCTACTAAAGTCCTAACTCTACGCAAACGCAATCACAATCAGAATCACGAAATTTCGCCAGACCCAACAAAAACCGAACGTTCCGAAACATCTCCAGCAAGTCAAACGGCCACTCCCGTCGACCCCGAATAAAAGAACGCAGAGGGACCAAAATTAACCGGGGTTTTGGGGCTAGCGCAAGTGAACAGAAAATCGTCCGACTGTCCCGTGTTGAAATTGGGCTCGGACGCCGACCTGCTGATCTTCGGCTGGTTCTTCAGCAGCGAGACCAGCGAGGCGTGGATCTGGGTGAACAAGGGCCTGTCGTCCCTCGTGAACTTGATGCAGTCTTCGATCAGCCTCCGCAGAGCCTTGGGCGCGTCGGAGCGCAGCTTGGTCAGGTCGGCCTTCAGATAGCCCCGACCCACCATGAACAGGATCTGGTCCTTGTTGTTGATGTGGGCGTACGGGAGCTGCATCGACAGCATCTCGAACATGACGATCCCGAAGGCGTACACGTCCGACTGGAAGCTGTACGGGTTCTGAAGCTCCATCCGGATGACCTCGGGCGCCATCCACAAGATCGAGCCCGTGGGCTGGCGCTGACACGAATCCGCGAAACGCGTCTTCGCCGCCGCCAGCCCGAAGTCCCCGATCTTCACCGTGAGGTTCTCGTGGAGGAAGATGTTGTTGGACTTGAGGTCCCTGTGGATGATGTTCTTCGCGTGGAGGTAGTCCATTCCCTGTGCCGTCTGGCGCGCGATCTCGATCAGCGTGATCAGCGCGAACTTCGTCTCGTGCACGTGGAGGTGCTTGTACAGGCTGGAGCCTTCGCACCACTGCGTCACGATGGCCAGCTGGGGCTTGCTCACGCACCCCATGAAGAGCAAAATGTTGACGTGGCGCGTCTTCCGCAGCACCGCCACTTCGTTCTTGAAGGCTTGCAGCTGCGCCAGCGACGGGATCTTCACGTTCAGGGTCTTGACGGCCACGGGCCCGTGCCAGTGCGCCTTGTACACCGTCCCGAAGGAGCCGGAGCCCACCCGGGGCCCCACGAGGATCTCCTCGGCCGAGATCTCCCAGTCTTCGATGCTCTCGCGGGGGCCCAGGATGGGTTTGCTTTCGTCGGCGGAGCGCGCGCGCGGCCGCCGGGGGTGCAGCGGGTCGGTGGGTGAGTTCTGGGTGCTGTTGAAGTGGTTCTGGGTGACAGAGTCGTGTTCGATGCTGGGCCGCGGGGGGAGAGGGAGCGGCTTGGAGCCGTCGTCCCCTGTGCCCTTGACGTTGTTCAAGCAGACATTAGGAGCCGAGTTGGATCGGTCATGGTGGGCGAGGGCGCGCACGGGCTGGTCTTCGCACTGGGGGATTGATTGGTTCACGCGAACGGGGTGGAAGATGCCGACGTTGGTGTCCGGAGATCTCGCGAGGAGAGCTCGGAAGTAGGCGTCGGTCATGCGAACCTGGAAAAGGCGGCGGTTTTTAACCAAGGCAAAAGGACCTCTGACACGCGGGGAAGTGGAGGAACAATGACATGCTGCGACTTCTAAACAAGCAAATACAACAACCATTGATTAAATACATATAGATAGACCCATGCTATTGTTTGGAGCGAACAGGCCAACGGCCGGCGAAAAGCTTGGACACCAATCACGCGCATAGGTAACACAAATCACACCAACAATACATTTAATAAATCTACCACTCGATAGAGGGCGACGAAAAAAATGTGTAAAAATCTCATAGTCAGCATTTAGATAATTTACAACGTTGCCAGATGAGTTTAACACAACTTTGCCGTTATTTCTATTCGATTAGATTTTATTTCGTTTAAAAGTTTCTGGTAAATAAATGGAATTATTACAATGAATAAACAATACAAACAAATTATTACTTGTTATTTTAAATACTTGTTAGTGTTGATGAAAACATAAATAGTTATTAAAGTTATTCTAAATAGCTCAAATTTTACAGCTGAGAAAATGTTCAAATCGAGTCACTTTTTCTGACATCGTCAGCAACCGGTGTTTGGTAAATGTTTTAATTTGTTTATTCGTGCAAATCAGCATCAAAAATGGTGTTTAAACACATAGTAACATTTTACAGGACTTGTTCTTTTTAGCTCAATTTTACCGGACTCCTTCGAATCCAGTAAAACGAGAAATTTGACACAGTATGAAGTAAAATAAATGTAATTAACACATTGGAAATTTTTTCTACGCTTTTGTGTGCTCGCTTTTGTTACTAATAATACAAAGGAAAATGCTTTTAAATGCGTTCTCTCAAAACTTACTATATTTTTTTAGAAAATTTATTAGACTAGAGACGGACAGATATATACTAAAGACAAAACATATGCACTCATATATATCTTAAAAAATTGGTCTAAAGAGTTTAGACAGTACTTCCCTCGCTGTCGGAAACTTGACGACTACATGCCTATTTTGCAAGGACACGTATATCAGTTGGGATAGTGTAGTGTAATACTAAGAATAAAATTATTATATTCTCAAATTTTCGGGAAAATGAATTGGGTCGTTTTGAATATTGATTTGTAATAATCAATAAAATAAAGAAACAATTTACTCACGTATACGTATCAGAGGCAACTGAAAATCGTGTATGTATAAACATTCTTAATTTAAGATGACAAGCGTAACAGCATACGTGAGAGTCAAACAGAGAAACTGTAAACAAAACGACCATCGGTTTTATTGCTTCGACTTCCGCTTATTATATAAAACATTGGGTTTTATTTTAATTCTTGACGGTGAAATTCACAATTGCTTGATTATAAACATGTCTATTTCACATTCGCGGAACCAAGTGAGCGCATAAAACAAATGCAGGTCTGTAATGTTAAAGTCGATGTAAATAAGCGTGCTACCCTTATGTTTCAACCGAGTTTTTCCTTTAACAAATTTTGTGTCTACCAAATTGGGTTGGTTGGGGTGTAATACTAATAATAAGTGTTGCCTTTAATTTAATCAATAAAATAAATTGACTTCATTAATTTTTTTGAACCACCTCTTAAGAAAATCTAAAAAATATGAATGGAATGATAAATCACAAGTACAAACTCATCATATTTTTTGCATTTTAGATAGGATTTATTCAGCAAAATTTAAGGCTGACGTCATCAATTTTTTTAGGAGGGATGAACAAATACATTTTGAACAAAAGTTTACCATGCTTATAATAACTTTAAAATATTCCCAAGATTTCAAAGCATTCGGTTTTGTAATTCCTGATTAAATCGATAAAATAAATTCACGCCTTCATTAATTTTTTTGAGTCACCCTGCATATGCAAATCCAAAAATATGAATGGAATGATAAATCACAAGTACAGACTCATCATATTTTGTACATTTTAGATACGATTTATTCGGCAAACTTTTGAGCTGACGTCATCAGTTTTTTGTAGAAGATAACCAAATATATTTTGACTAAAAATTTATTATGCTCTTTATAACCTTAAAACATCTGCAAGATTTCAAAGCATTCGGTTTTGTAGCTCCTGATTAAATCAATAAAATAAATTTACGCATTCATTAATTTTTTTGAGTCACCCTGTATATGCAAATCGAAAAAATTTGAATGGAATGATAAATCACAAGAAGAGACTCACCATATTTTGTACATTTTAGATAGGATTTATTCACCAAAATTTTGTGGTGACGTCATAAATTTTTTAGGGGGGACGACCAAATACGTTTTGATCAAAAATTTACCATGCTTATGATAATTTTAAAATATCTTCAAAATTTCGAAGCATTCGGTTTTGTAGTTCCTGAGTAAATCAGTAAAATAAATTTACGCTTTAATTTACTTTCTTGAATCACCCTGTATATGCAAATCCAAAAAATATGAATGGAGTGATAGATCACAAGTACAGACTGATCATATTTTGTACATTTTAGATATGATTTATTCGGCAAATTTTCGAGCTGACGTCATCAAGTTTTTGGAGGGGATAAGCAAATATATTTTGACTAAACATTTATTATGCTCTTTATAACCTTAAAACATCTGCAAGATGTCAGAGCATTCCGTTTTGTAGTTCCTGATTAAATCAATAAAATATATTTACGCATTCATTAATTTTTTTGAGTCACCCTGTATATGCAAATCCAAAAAATATGAATGGAGTGACAGATCACAAGTACAGACTCATCATATTTTGTACATTTTAGATATGATTTATTCGGCAAACTTTCGAGCTGACGTCATCAATTTTTTGGAGGGGATAAGCAAATATATTTTGACTAAAAATTTATTATGCTCTTTATAACCTTAAAACATCTGCAAGATTTCAAAGCATTCGGTTTTGTAGTTCCTGATTAAATCAATAAAATTAATTTACGCCTTCATTAATTTTTTTGAGTCACCCTGTATATGCAAATCCAAAAAATATGAATGGAGTGATAGATCACAAGTACAGACTCATCATATTTTGTACATTTCAGATATGATTTATTCCACAAACTTTTGAGCTGACGTCATCAAGTTTTTGGAGGGGATAAGCAAATATTTTTTGACTAAAGATTTATGATGCTCTTTATAGCCTTAAAACATCTGCAACATTTCAAAGCATTCTGGTTAGCAGATTAAAAATTAAATTTCAAAATGTTGTTTTATAATTTTGATTTTTTTTCCAAAAATCTGGACGTTTCGGGTGAAAAGTCGATTTAGAGTTGTAAACTACATGTGTAGGACTATGTTATTTTATACAATTGAAAACCCATTTACTATGTACAATTTTGAAGTGACGTCATCGCATTAGTGGTGGGGATGATTAGACAAATTTTGGTTAGCGTTTTACCATCTACATGATATTCTTAATATAAGTACAAAATTTCGCAACAATCGGTCCAGTACTTTCGGAGATTATCTGTCTAATAAAAATCCGGGACGGCAGACGGACAGACGGACGGACAGACAGACGGAAATGGGAGACCTATTTCTTCGTCTTCTAGGGGTCATGAAAGATCGAGAAAACGTAAAAGTAGAGAGTCGGCCGACGGACTCGATTACAATACTTCCTTTGCTTACGCTCGGGAAGTAATAAGACATTTTCTTTCACATTTTATGATGTAAATACAATTAAGTATATCGATAACTCGCTACTGAAAATTTATTGAAATATAATTTGTGTTAAAAAAAGATTTTTGTGGTTTTATGGTTTATTAACATAATTTACTTATTTAAATTAAATATTTTTAATACATAGCACAAGTTCTCGATATTCGTTATTTTTATTCCAAGTAATAATTGTGTTTCCTTTAGTTTTAACCAAGAAAATTTTTCGGTTATTATCTAACATACTTTTGTACATTAAGAAACTCCATTCCACGTCGCAGGACGATATTTAAATAAATAAAGAAGTCGTTTTTATGTGTTTTAAAATTCACTCTGATTTCCGAACTTTAGACTTTTTGGTGTTTCACTTCGGCACAAGAACTACTCGTATCTCAAAGAAAACAAACAGTGGAAAATGGAACAGCTTTAGAAACTATTCTTTTATTTGTTCTGTCTTGCAGCGAGAAAAGAATATAGCGTATTGTACCTATATTTCATAGTAAAATTGTCGATCCGGTTTAAAATTCTACCCACCTAATTAGGTAATTACGTTAACAAACTAAAATTTTCATTGAAGAGACAGACTGTTCTAGGAAACTTCACTAAATCTCTTTATTTACGAGCAATTCAAAGACCGCCGGTCTCACTGATATTTCTTACCTGGCTCCTACGAATGAAGCGAAAAATGCACAGATTGGAAATATAGGAAATGGGGTAGTATGCGTAATATGTCGTTAGACATTAAGTATTTTGCAAATAAAATTTATTTCATTGAAAACAGAAACATTAAAAAACATATCTGTACAAGTTTGGTATTGATATGGCCAATTGTTTAGAATATGCAAATATGCTTTTGTTCGTATTTACAATCATTACGAAACAGGTTATCAAAGAATCTATTTTCACAAGGCTGGACTTTCAAGCGGCAGAAGAGTTAAAAACCATAAATTTTCATTGAAGAAACAAACTCTTCCAAGAAAATTTACCAAATCTTTAAAACGGTATGATTTGCACGAATAAACAAATTAAAACATTTACCAAACACCGGTTGCTGACGATGTCAGAAAAAGTGACTCGATTTGGATTTTTTCTCAAAATAATAATTATTTTATCGAATAAAAAAATATGTTGACAGTATGAAATAAAATACATAACAACATACGTCCGGTAACTCTTCGCAGTACTCGTTTCGAAATTAAAGACTTGGCTACCTACTCGTCCTGAAACATCCCTCTCGTACTGGAAAATTTGAGCTATTTAGAATAACTTTAATAACTATTTATGTTTTCATCAACACTAACAAGTATTTAAAATAACAAGTAATAATTTGTTTGTATTGTTTATTCATTATAATAATTCCATTTATTTACCAGAAACTTTTA